ACTTGCCTTGTGATTCCTGTAGCCTAGCCTAGCCCTAAAACTGGGTTGCACACAGACAGAAGTTCCATGAAAAGTTTTCGCTTCCAAGCCTCTGGTGGACTTTGCGAGTGACATGCCACAAGCATCTTAGGGCACTGAAAATCCACCAAAAAAATGGGCAGCATTCAACTAGGATTGCCTCCAACGCTGGGCACTTCTGAAGATGCTGAAGCTCTTTCCCGGTTTGCCTTACGGGCTTTTATGAGCATCAGAGTCCAGAAGGACTCTTGTCCCAAGATTGGGCTTGTTACTGTGTAGCATTTTGATGATTTTTTTCGTGTATTCCTGGACCTTCTTTTCTAGCCATGGACATTGAGGCCTGGAGAGCTCACCTGTCCCTGGGTCTGGGCTGGGAGTTCTCCCCTCTCTCTGCCCAGTGCTTCCTGGGAGGGAGAGTGGGCAGGGAGGCCTGCATATCCCTATTCTGAGTGATTTTTTAACTATTGATCTCAGACAGGTGATTATAGTTCATGCTATGGAAGGTGTGGATTACACAGAAAGCGGAATGAGGACATGTTTGTGGGTCCTTAAAAAATCTTTGTCAATATTGAGTTGTGTTGTTTACCATAAATATCTCTTCTGTGGAGCAAACAGGACCAAGTAGCCCATTCCAGCCTATTCTGTCCCTGGCTGAGCACAATCTCCCTCTTCTCTGACACCTCCCAAAAGTCAAATAAAAGGAGTTCCCTTCCTTAGAGGCTCCCATTGTTCCAGGGCTGTCCCATTTTCTCTCCTGTCCCCAGAGGGTTGAATATACCAGATAGCTATTCATGGAGGCCCCAGCAAAGATACTCCCACATACTTCAATGTAGGGTGGATCAGACTAGATACACACATGGCCCAATAAGGCAGAATGTATTCTGGACCAGGAGCAGGAGGTGTGAGTAGGTTGTGGATATAGCCTAGATATAGTCTGGTCATAGCATGGCTGAGGAAAGATGGGTCCCCATCAGACACAGGGACTAGTGGAGAGGCAAGCTCCATCAGTTAGTAGACTGTAGCTCACCAGCCCATGACACTTGGGGCTGATGGTTCTGCTGACCAGCACACTCTGCTCCTACCCTCTTCTCTTCATGTACTTGCTCTCATAAGCTATCTTTTTGATAATTAGCAGAAATGAGTCACATATTTTTGTCTGCTTGTGTGTTGGTTGGTTTTTCATCCCTACTCCTTCTGACCAAAATGGCATTCATTCCCACCACCCATCTGCCTTACGAGGTCATTTGCTCTTTTACTGGTTCCTGTCTCTTCATTTCTTTTCTCTAGCCGATGATACATACATTGGGTATTTATGAATCTGTACTCTGAAATTTCTTCTTTAGAGAGCTTCATGGTTCTGAACTGAATATAGATGTTATACTGTTCTATACAGAAAGGTGGAGTAGGATGCATTTAGAGGACCTAGGAAATGGAAGGCTTGAAACCCAGGGGCATGATCTTTGAAAGGAGAAGTCTCCCTCATCCCCTGTTTGCCTTTGGAGGGGAATTCTGAAAATGAGACTCAAAGGCCGTGTGGCATGATACAGGGGCTATTTCCTATTCAAATGTACCTGCAGCATCCTACAACCAAGAGAGCAGTGCAAGGAGGCCCTGCAGTGAGTGGTCCCTCCACATAGAAAGCTGAGTGGAGACAATTGTTACTCTACTTACCAGGCTTCCTACTGTCCCCAGTAGGTGGATGTACTCTTCTTCCCAAAGAGCAAACTAGGTAATCATAACTATTTAGAAGAATATTTCTTCCCCTTGGTTCAGGAGTCCAAGAGTACACTCTAGCCTTTTGGTTTGTAGTAGATGGTAGTATGTGCGAGGTGGGGATGGAGGAGGGTGTTGTATGTTTTAAATAAGCCATACTTTTAGAGAAATGGCAGGTGCAATTTCAATTAAATTTTTGTTGCTTTTGGAATATATCAGTAGCAACTATTTGTTCTTTGTCATCAGTGGGCTGTATGCTGTACAAAAAGGTGGTTAGGCAAGGTACAGATTGGCAAAGAATAATTAAAGACACGATGGGACTGGCATTTAGTATTTTCCATTAGCCAGGCATCATGCAAAGGACATTACCCAGTTTAATCCTAGAAACCCCGTAGTTAAGTATGATCACACCCAGAGAGGTTATGAACTTGCCCAATGTCACACAGCTAGTAATTGGTAGAACCCCGGATCTGAACTCAGGTCTGTCTGACTCCAAAGCCCTCACCTTAATCACAGGTACCAAGCGAGAGAGGTTCCAGTATTTCCAAGGCTGTCGAAGCAGCAGGAAAGCTCCTTAAAGTGTCAGTCAGAACTTGTTGCCAGAAACCAGATAGTGTTATGACAGTTGATAATTTGCAATAGTGTTTTATAAGTTATTTTAAGACTGTAGTTTTCAAGGATCCAGGTTGTCTTAGAGGCCAGCACATCTATAGTCTTCTGCCCAAGTTGTGATTATTTGCCCATTGATACTATTTGGAAATGTTTCTATTCTATCATTTTGCTGTACTCAGATTTAGAAAAACACAATTCAGGAAGATGGTATGATTAGCAACTCCCTGAGTTTGGTTGCTTCGTACCTTCAGTGGTTTGGATTTTGGAATAATAATGAAAAGGGAGGGGATTTTTAGCATAACCACTTAGCAGTTTGTTCTCTTGCTGCTGGGCAGCAAAAATGTTTCCTTTTCCATCCACTCTCCCATTGGGAGTGGAACTGAAAGTGGTTATCTTTTGAGGTACATCTGTAGAGTAGTTTGGTTTTAGGCTGTGAAGGGTATCATTTTGATAGTTATGTGCTATAAAACCATATCTCAATACAAGTTTCCTCTCTAGGACCAATGAAATAATACAGGTGAGAAACAGTGGTCTGAATATTTAGCAAGTGCCTTATCTTTTAACATACAAGTTTCACATCTTTATTTTTTCCTCTTGTATATTATGACATGCTTAGCAAGGTAGGTATTCAATAAATTTTTATCTTATTACAGTTAGTCTGTCATTAGAGCTCTATTTATTATCACCAATCCATCTTTTAGAAGAACCCCTTTAAAAATAGAACTTACCATATTTAGATCTCTCAGAAGTTCCTCATTGTTCTTTTTACTAGGACAGACAGATTTTAGTGGTAGGTAAAGTACATAGTATTTTCAGAATCCTATTGGTCTTGCTTAATGATTACTATCTTTTTCTTACTGAGAATTTTACATAAATTATTCAATTACATAAAACTTAGAACCAATATTAGTAGAAATGATTAAGTACTAAAGTATATCCTGATATATAGATATGTAGAAAATCGTGATGTAGTGTTTTAAGCACTATACTAAGTCACTCATCTATACAGCATCATTCTGAAGGAAATAATAGTGGCTTCTACTTACTGAATATTTACTCTGTGACAGACACTGTATTAAGTACCTTACATGGATTATCTAATTTAATTCTCAAAACAATTCTATAAGATGTTATTTTACTTATGAACAAACAGAGCTCCAAAGTTTAAGTACCTTTTCTAAGGTTCACAGGATCAGAGTCAGCATTTGAACCCAGTTTTATTGAACTCCAAAGCTCATATCCTATATTTTAAAGAGAGAAATGATTACAATCCCTAATTCATGCTCCCGAATATGATTATTTGTTTCTTATAAGAGCTGACTGTTATTTGACCACTTCCAGCTATTTTAATTGAAGACATATCATATGTGGTTCTTACCGGTCCAAATGAAAAGTAGCAATATAAAAGAGTATGAGCGGTAGGGTTAGCACATTCTCAGTGGGATGCTACAAGAGCTGAGCCGAGCTGCAAAGTAGTGGAGACCATGAGCCTCGCTGATACACAAAGACCTTGGGGAGCTTGTCTTTGCTAATAGAGGCCTTCATTTTGTCACTTGACCTTACCATCATGCTCCCGTCTCAGCCTTCAATTAAGCTGCCATTGGCATAGGATTTATAATGTGTCACTGGCCATTCAAGAGACAGCAGCAGAGGTGTGGCTGAAAAACTGAACAATAAAGAATGGAATTGATTTTCATTACTGTTCAAATCAGGAAGATAACAAAACCATAACTGACCTCGGGACAGAACAAGACAGCCCAGCTAGGTGCAAATTCCAGGTACTAAATGCCTACTAACCTTTTCAGATGGTACATTTTCTCTGACAGACCAAGATGCTCATGGTTTATTTCTGCCCAAACCTTGGTCAGTATTGGTGATGTCGAGCTTTTCCAGGAGAGAATCTGCATCTCATTTGTCCTTTTGGTTTCTAAACAATAGAATACATTTTATAAGTGAGAATTTTTAAGGAAAATAACAGGGTTTTTATTTGTTTGTCTTGTTCTGTTTTTTAACTGAACCAAATGTAAAAATATAGCATGGCCACGGACCACATGAATGAGGTAATTTTAGTCTTTTTTCTAGGAATTTTTAGTGTTATAAACTTTATTTTGCACGGGTAAGATGACATTAGTTTGTGTTTTAAGTAAATAGTGAGACTGGAATTCTTTTGTTAGCCTGTAATTAATTCTTCCTTTAGGGTTGAATCCTTAAATTTGGAAATACAACTCTGACTTTTAATTTAACAAGGCAAGAAGCCACAGATACCCTAATTTTAAATTATTACTTTTATTCAGCACTAGTAACTAGGGCTGTGGATATAATCTTAAGAATGAAAGTTTAATAACATGTTTACGCTGGTGTATTAATTTTCTGGTTAGCCTTCTATCATTCAGTCCCAACTTCCTCAGCATTGAGGATGAATTGATTATGGTTTATGTTCTGAAAGACAGCCCGTTTCCTGTGTTGTGAATGACCTGTGGGCTTTGCCAGACACACTGGCCTGCAGATAAAACTGATGAAAGTCCGCAAGGGGGTTTTCCTAACTGTGTACTTATCAGTCTTCCTCCAAGCCACAGTCTGCCTTTTGAGAGCTCTAAAAATTAATTTGGTCTCCTCTCTTCTCCCTTTCCCCCCACCTTCTCCCTGTCTGTTCACAGGTTATCTTGACGAATCAAATTACAACCCATCTGAGTGGAGCCCTAGCTTCTCAGGCAGACCTGGTGTCTCCAGCTGATGACTTGCCCCTGTCTGAAGGTAAGGGATCTGTCCTGGAGGGGCTGAAACTTGACACTGACCTACAGCCCCACAACCTCTCTGCTCCTGGGAGAGCCCAGAGACCAGCTTGCAGGCCCTGGCCAGTGAACCCAGCCAGAGCCCGGCGATGCAGGCTTGGCCACCTTTCCTGGCATCTGATCCCTTATATTTGGAGAGTCTCTTGCTCTGTTACTGTAAGTGAGCTTCCTTTTCCACCCGAGTGAGTCGTCTTAATGGATGGGTATCCATCACCTCCGCCTTCAGGCTTGTGGCTCCTCTGTAGGTTGCTTATGGTCCTTGGTATGAGGGCTGGTGACCTGCTAACTGACTCTGTTTTTGAGACTGATGCTTAAAGGTTGGCTTTACCAGTGGTCCCGCAGCAATTTAGCCTTTCCTCGTGCCGGGTACTTTTAGTCCTGGTCAAAGCATACACCAATGTGATGTGGCATTCCCTGTCAGCTCTACCGAAAGATGAAGAGAAATGCTCCATGCTGGTAAATCTGCAAAATTTTCTCCACCCTCCCATACTAGCAAAGGTCAGGCCAGCTACGATTTTCATAGCGAGGGGAATTACACCGCTGAGCCAGTGGGTGGTTTCTTACTTGACATTTCTGAGTTCTGCTAGTTGTACTCTTTCAGGGCAGAATACTGTGGGCGTGCGCGCGCGTGTGTGTGTGTGTGTGTGTGTGTGTGTGTGTGTGTGTGTGTGTGTGTGTATAGCTGTCCCAGGCCTCTCTGCACTTTCCTTTTTCTGAGAATTATTCATGATGGCATATGTGGGACTTCGAGGCCTCACAGGCTCCTGACTGGCCAGGTGATCTTCCATTGATTGGCCTCAGTTTATGGTCCCCCAAATAGGAAGACTATACCCCTGCTTCTCAGTGGTGTGTTTTAGAGTGAAAACTAGTTATTAATTTAAAGCAGTAGTAAAATGCACTCAGTACTCTGCTTCCACGTCAGTGATGCATTATCGCTCCCCATCACCTGGACTGAGAAGCCAGAATCATTTCATATCCCTTCCGCCTTATATTCTTTTCACCAAGTCTATGGAGTTCTTCTTCCCAAATATATCTCCCCCATCTCTTCTTCTTCTTCTTCTTTTTTTTTTTTTTTTTTTTTTACAATTTGAATTGTGATTAGCTGACTCATTCAACTTATAATTGGATTTTTATTTTTTATTGTTTAAAGTATTACATATATTAGTACATATATCTCCCCCCCCCCTACCCCTTGTTGGGGTAGGGGAGGCTGGGGGAAGGACATAATTGGATTATTTTAATAAAATTCCAATATGCCTTCCCAACTGCAAACTCTGCCATTTTTCTTCTGCCACTGTCAATTGGAACTTACTCATTGGGCTGTGTTTTCTTTGTCACTCCCCTACGGAGAAATCTGGGTGATGTTTCAACCTGTGTTTTGAGAATGGGCTAAAATCAATATGCTGATTTTAAAATATTTAGAACTTTATGATTCGTCATCTGAAAGTCGGCCAGAGTGGAAGTATTTACACCATGGAAATTAGCAACTGCTAACAATCAAGTTATTTTCCTTTTCTTTTGCGTGAATCTGTTTCCAAAACACCACAAGATAAAGTCAGTACTTCTTAACACTTCGAAGTCCTGTCTCTCCTTCCTGTTCAACCCGCATTGACATTTCCTTGGCTCCTACGCCAAGTGTGTGGACTTACTGCTCACCACTTCCCCCTCTCTGCTCCCCTCCTCAGTCCCTCCCCGCCCCTTCTCCCCCCTCTGCTGGGACAGCCCACCTAATCTTGAACAGCATTTCCCTTTTTCACTTCTACCTCTGCTTCTCTTCCCAGATCCTCCCACTCCTTCCAGGGTTACAGGCCACCCCTTCCACAAAACCTCCTCTTCTGTCCCAGTGGGCATGGCTCTCACTCTCTGTTCTCCTCTGTGGTCCCTTTACCTGCTTCGCTATATAAAGAAAAGGTCTAGAAAATTTTAATTTAATTTTTCATGGTTTCCTGACTAGATTGGCAGATATTTTAAGGACACAGACTATCTTGTATTCTTTTTGTCTCCATGTTGTGCCTGAGTGACTAGCAAAGTTCTAGGCACATTTAGGCAGTAAGTAAATGCTGAATGAATACCACAGTTCATACTTTGTAAAAATAGTAACCATGAGAATCACATAAGACACCTACGAATGTCATTAAAAAAAAATGTTGTAATTATTTCACACGCCACAGACACACACCACACACATTTATTCAGCTCCGAGGAAAAGAAAGTATCTTGTTTCTTTATTTGAAAGCCAGTAAGTAAGAGTACTTTGCTTTGTCTTGGCTTCCTGGTTTATCTTAAACAAAGAAGAGTCAGTGAAACAGATAACCAAGGAAATTGCTTTGGGGCTCTAGTGTAAGCACTTCAAGAAAACAATAAGGAGGTATTTGTGGCAAATGAAGGGTTACCAGCTTATTCTTAGACAACTTTTTCTTATTATGGAATCCCAGGGAGGATGGAAACAATTCATTTTTTATTTTATTTTTAGATGTTTTTAGGTCATTTTTAAAGGTCTTTTACTTGCATAGCTGAGCAGGTGAAGAGGCTATAGAAATGTTTTTTCTGAAATCTATACTGAAATTCCCTACCAGTGAATTAAAATGAATAGGTTTCTGAGCATATTTATACCTATTTAAATGCATTATAGTGTTCGTTAATGTTACTGTGATCCATATGGATAAATGGCTTTGTTGTTGTTTCAGGCATCCATGGTTTCATTAGCTTGGTGACCTTGAGCAGGTCTTTTAATCACTTTGGTCGCAGGTTTTTTTCTGTTAAATGACAGGTGAGATGAGTTGCCAGAGTCTTTTCTAGCTCTAATGTTGGACACGCATACTGTGGGTCTGAAGATCAGGAATATTCACTAGGTGATGGGTATCGAAATCTCATTTTTCAGACTGGGAAGAATGACCTTGTTGTCCTAGATTAGGCATCATAGGAAGGATCTTCAGAAATCCTAGCATTGAGCTGAAACCGGTTTGGCTCAGTGGTAGAGCATCGGTCTGTGAACTGAAAGGTCCCAGGTTCGATTCCGGTCAGGGGCATGTACATTGGTTGCGGGCACATCCCCAGTAGGGTCTGTGCAAGAGGCAGCTGGTCAATGTTTCTCTCTCATCGATGTTTCTAGCTCTCTATCTCCCTCCCTTACTCTCTGTCAAAAATCAATAAAATATATTTTTTTAAAAAGAAAAAAGAAATCCTAGCATTGATACCTTTGGCATGCCTACAGCATTCTCCTCTCCCTATTGCTCTCTCTTTCTCTGTAAACTCTCTGGTCTTGTCTGTCCATCACTTGCCCTCTCTGCTTTTCTTCCACACAAATGTGTGCAAAAGAGATATGTGCAAACCAGTGCAAGTGGGAAACACCCTGATGAGTGAGCTCGAGGTCCCCCCTGACCTGTAATGGATTTCAGCTGCAGAACAGAGGGCACCGCTTAAAAGGCACTCCCTTGCAAAGAATTGGTGAGAACCAGCGGCCACTGGGCAGCGGGCGATAAAATGATCCGAGGTGACCTGAGCGAAGTACCCAGCAGGGGCTGGCTCGGGAAATGAAGTTTCTTCTGCTCTGACACAGAACAGGGAATGCAAGTGACCTGGCCCAACTGAGAGATCTCTTCTACCCCATGGTCCCTACTATTAATATCTACCAGCTGTAGGCCCAGAGCATCCCCCTGCTGAGATCAAAAGGACCCCTATCTTGGCTGGAACAAGGTCATCTGCACAGGCCCGTAAACAGGCCGGCTGGCTCAGGGACCTCTGTAGGGAGGCGAAGTCAGGAGAGGGGAGGTGCTCTCTCACGCTCCTTTAATCTCCAAGGACCAGCTGTTGCCTCCCAGTGTTTGTAAAGTGGAGAGTTCTTTGTTTTTGTGTTGCTTTTTCCCCTTATTAAATGTGTGGCTAGGCTGGTGCTTGGATTATGTAGACCCAAGTTTACTGCTTGGGCCCACTGTATGGCTCCCTTCATTGAGATTTCATTCCCCTGTGGAGTTATCCAGATCCCAAGTGGGAGAGCCACAGAGGGAGACGTGGACCCCGAAGGCCAAGGATTTTTCAGTGCTGCATGGTACTGTGTCTGGAGAAGGCATGAGAGGACCAGTTGAATTTTCTCTATTTAGTTAAATAACTTCTCATACGTACAGTGTGCTTATCAATTTTTAGTCTGTCTTTCACAAATATTATTTCATTCAGTTGTGAGAATGAAACTTTTAAGACTTATGCAAATCAGTCAAAATTATACTGTGAACCAAAGGGCAGAAATCAGGATTTTCATTCTTATAATCTACATTATTCTCAAGCTGGCACTGTGAGTGAAAGTTTTTTCTCCAGTGTTTTGTTTCATTGACAGAAACTCAGGGATTTAGGTTGTTACAGAGGTCAGTGACTGGCTATTGACTAGGCTATCGTGATGGCTATTGATTTGGATATTGTGTTGGTAACTGACTAGGTTATCATGACTGTTCTGGCCAAAGACAAGTTCCTCAGATGCCCTGGCCAGTTCTTCCTGGTGATCAGCGAAGATACTAAGAATGATTGGATCTTGGTCACAGGGAATGTCCCTTTTGCCCAGAGTGATTAGTAAAGAAAGGATCTAGCAGTCCAGCTGGCCTAAGACACCACATTTTATTCTGAAGTCACCTGAGCTTGGACCAGAAGGACCGGCTGGACCACTGTCCAATAAGCACAGTTGGTAAGTGAGATGGACATGCAGTGGCAGCAGGGCCTGTGTAAGACTGAAGCTCTTCTCAGCATAGGCTGCTAGCTTTTCCCCTCTGATGATTTAATGGGATAGCGTTACTTTGGTGTGGCAACACAGCTCATTTTAGCAATCCCAGAGGTTCGTGAAAGGAAGCATCATCAGGCTGCCATCCTGGCATTCCCAGCATCTGGCATGTTAGTTAGTATTCTTCTATTTGCAGTCACAGTTTTTGATAGATAATAGCACTTAAAAACTAAAATGGCCAGTCAGCATGGCTCAGT